ATTATTATTTTATATTTGAATGTTTCTGTTAAATTATTATTTTATATTTGAATGTTTCTGTTAAATTATTATTTTATAGATTAATGTTTCTGTTCAATTATTATTTTATACATGAATGTTTCTGTTAAATTATTATTTTATAGATGAATGTTTCTGTTCAATTATTATTTTATTGATGAATGTTTCTGTTCAATTATTATTTTATACATGAATGTTTCTGTTCAGTCTCTGAGACGACTTCTGTTGTGACTTGGAGCTGAAGAAATAAGCTGGATTGAATTGTACTGACTCCCTTCAGCCTTATCTAAAGCAGTCTGTAACCGTGTCAGGATGGTTTTAGACTCAGACTTTCAGTTTAATAAACAGATTAAATCTGTTCTGCAGAAAAGCTTCTTCCAGTTAAGGCAGATAGCAGAACTTAAGTCCGTGCTGACCAGATCCAAGCTTGAAGAATGAGTCCATGCCTTGGTTACAACTCGACTGGACTACTGTAACGTGCTTCATGTTGGGGTCAGTCAAGTCCCTCTCACGTCTCCAGCTCGTCCAAAATGCTGCAGCTCAGCTCTTAACAGGAACTCGCAGGTCTGAGCACATTTCACCAGTTCTGTCCTCCCTTCACTGGCTCCCTGTACGTGTCAGAATTGATTTTTAAATTCTTCTCTTAACATTTAAATGCATCAATGGCCTTGCACCCTCATACCTCTCTGACCTTCTTCATCCTTATGCTCCTTCTCGGGTGCTGAGATCATCTGATCAGCTGCTTTTGGTTGAATCTCAGAGGAGATCGGGCTTTTTCAGTCGTGATCCCAAACTCTGGAACAACCTGCCCCCCCAACATCAGACAGACCGCCTCAGTCTCTGCTTTTCAAGCTCTCCTGAAAACTCACCTGTACTCACTGACATTTAACACAGGCTGATCTCATTTAGTTTTTCATTGTTCTGTGTTTATTTTCTTTTGACACTAGTTTAATTTTTGTTGTTTCTTTAATGAACTGACACTGATTTTCATTGTTCAGAACTTTGGCAACAACCGGCTGTTTTTAAATGTGCTTTATAAATAAATTAGACTTGACTCATAAAACATGGAAGAAAACAGTCATTGGGTTTTCACCGACAAATACTTGTCTGAATATTTACGAAGCAGTCACTCTGTTACCCATTTTCCTTCTGTACATTTGTCAGCATCTTTCTCGTCTGGCAGTTTTCATCCATTTCACCAAATCAAAAAACCTTCGGCTCTTTCAGGACAATTCTGCTGTGACTTTTGTTATTGGTGCAACTTTAGCTATTTGAAATATTTAGCCTTTTCTGACATTTTTCCTCATAGAAAATTAACTGAGCTCATTTTCCATCCTTCAAAAATCTTTAGCTCTGTTTACAATCTTTTACTGCTCCTTTCACATATTTTTTTCTGCTTCAGCTGCTTTCAGCTTCCTGCTGCAAATTTTAACTTTTTTCAGCTACTTTCAGCTCTTTTCAGCTGTTTTGTGCTCATTTCAGGTTCTTTCTGCTAACTACAACATTTTGTGCTTTTTCTAACTTCCTTCTGCTCCTTTCAGTTTACTTCTGCAAGTTTCAACCTTTTCTGCTATTTCAGCTACTATTTAGCTGTTTTTATGCTGATTTTAGCTTTTTCAGCTAATTCCACTTTTGTTGCACTCATTCAAACTTTTTTCAGCCTAATTCAACCAAAATGTGCTCACTCCACTTTATTCTGGTAATGTAAGCTTCTTTCTGCTTTTTCAGCTACTTTTCAGCTTTGTGTGTGTGTGTGTGTGTGTGTGTGTGTGTGTGTGTGTGTGTGTGT